TAGATTCTAAAAGTAATTTGAAAAATATGGTAATTTTAGTAATCCACCAAATCAATCACTGATTTTAATTATATATTTGAAAATATTTTAGGAGAAATGGTAGATTCTTAAATAATTTGAAAAATGGGGAAGTTTTGGTGATGCAACAAATCAACCATTTATTTTAATTAATTTTCAACCGGTTAGGACTACTTTAGAAAATCAGTAGTTTGGATTAATTGCTTCCCTTCGAGTAGGTTTTATAAATGCCTAACAAATAGTTTGTTAGGTGTAAAATTACCCTTTATACATTATTAAAAAAATTAAATATGTTTTAAAAATAGGGGCGAAGGAGAGAAATTTTTATGAATAGACTTACTTAAATAATAATAATAATAATATTTAAAAACCAATAATAGAATTATCTAGTAACTAAGAGTTTTAAACTTTTGAGTGTTAGATCTTTGATATTTACTTCCATTTAGTTATTAAATTCTATGTCTTGGTTTAAAATTTAAGTTATGGAATTCTTTATTAATCTTATTTATTTTAATTATTTATTTAAAAATATTTCGAGAAAATGGTAGAAAATACAGTAGGTTGGATGTTGGAACAAATCAATCATTGATTTTAACTGATTTTCACTTATTATTAAGATTACTCCATAAAATCATCAGTTTAGGCCACTTGTTTTCTCTCAGATTTCAAGATTTTTTGGTCAGTAAACTTTATTGATTCCAAGACTAGGGTTATTGCAGAAGATCAGCAGTTGAGGACACTTGTTTTCCTCCCATATTTGAAGACTGGCCAGTAAACTTAACCGTTTCCCATACTATGACTACTCCAAAAGATCAGCATTGAGCAGTTGAGACCAATTGTCTTCCTCCCTACTATACTCTTATATATAAGTTTTTAATTTCTGACAGACTAAAAAGTTGAAAGGATTGTTCATGGAACTACTATACTCTTGTTTAAAAGTTTTTAACTTCTTACAGACTAAAAAGTTGAAAGGATTGTTCATGGAACTACTATACTCTTGCATACAAGTTTTTAACTTCTGACAGACTAAAAAGTTGAAAGGATTGTTCATGGAACTACTATATTCTTGTTTAAAAGTTTTTAACTTCTGACAGACTAAAAAGTTGAAAGGATTGTTCATGGTACTACTATACTCTTGTTTAAAAGTTTTTAACTTCTGACAGACTAAAAAGTTGAAAGGATTGTTCATGAAACTACTATACTCTTGTATACAAGTTTTTAACTTCTGACAGGCTAAAAAGTTGAAAGGATTGTTCATGGAACTACTATACTCTTGTTTAAAAGTTTTTAACTTCTGACAGATTAAAAAGTTGAAAGGATTGTTCACACAGGCAGTGTGATGTGATTCTGAGGGAACTTCACAAGGTAGTTAGTTTGTTCATTAAACAGTATAGTCTTCATTCACAGAAAAGTAGTGCAGAGAACTAGTAAGAATTGTGCCTATCATCCAATTCGTGCCGCATGGCGGGATTACTCTACTTCTACTCTATAAATRGGGGCTCAAAAAATGTCTTCTTCACCAAATTCAAATCTTTGAAATTGAGTACTAGCACGTATGGCTATGGATGCTGCAAGCTTTGTTAAGTTTGAACATTTTATGGCCAGTAAACTTTATAATAGGCCTGCATGATAAATTGTTTGATGACAACACGATCTTATCTAATAAAAAGCTACCATGACGTGTTTTTTTTTAAATAATTCAAGATAATTAGTTTTAAACTATAAATTTAATCTCTAAATTGTAGTCTTCAAGTATATTTAATCTTTGAATGAAAAAAAAAAGCTTTCAATTAGTATCTACATCATTGATTGAATTATTTATTTAAAAATATTTTGAGAAAATGGTAGATGATACGAAAGTTTGAATGATGCAGCAAATCAATCATCATCCCACGATAAGATTATTCCAGAAAATCAGCAGTTCGAGCCACTTGTTTTCCTCCCAGATTTAAAGACGACAGTTGAGACCAATTGTTTTCCTCCTAGTTTTGAAGATTTTATGGCCAGTAAACTTTATAACAGGCCTGCATGATAATTTTTTTTAATAATTAACGATAATTACTTTTGAGAAATTGTAGTCTTCAAATATATTTAATCTTTAAATGAAAAAAAAAACCGTAAAATATGGTAGTCTGGATAATGTAGCAAATCAATAATTGATTTTCACTGATTTCTAGACTAAGATTAATCCAGAAAATTAGCAGTTAAGGCCACTTGTTTGCTTCCCAGATTTGAAGACTTTCTGGCCAGTAAACTTTACTGATTCCAGACTAGGACTACTCCAGAAGATCAGCTGTGAGACACTTGTTTTCCTCCCATATTTGAAGACTTTATGACCAATAAACTTTACTGATTCCCAGACCAACCTTTTACACGTAAATAAAAATTTAAATATATTTTTAAAAATAGTGTTTGAAGGAGATAAGCTTATACTAATAAACCTAACTAAATAATAACAATATTTAAAAATAAAAAATACAATTTCTTAGAACGAGAGGTTTAAATTTGAGTATCATAAATTTGATATTTACTACAATTTAATTGTTAAATTATAAGTTTTGTTTTAAAATTTAATTTTTGGATTTATTTATTAAACTTATATGTTTTAATAATATATAACAAAAATATATTTTATAAAAAATATTAGATTTTAAAAGTAATTTAAAAAATAGAGTAGCTTTGGTGATGCAGCAAATAAATCACTGATTTTCAGTGACTCTTGGACTAGGACTACTCTAATAGATCATAATCAATTTTTGAAGACTTTCTAGCTAGTAGGCTTTATAGCAGACTTATGTGAAAAATCATCAATAAATTTATACGAATAAACTTAATTAAACAATAATAATATTTAAAAATAAAAAATAGAATTATCTTGTAACGGTTAAAAATTTGATATTTTTTGGTACAATTAAAATTTCATTATTTATAACTTTAATATTTACTCCAATTTAATTATTAAATTAGGTAGTTTTGTTTTGAATTTTAAAAGTTGAAATTTCTTTATTAATCTCATATATTTTAATCATATATTTAAAAATATTTTAGGAAAATGGTAGCTTCTAAAAGTAATTTGAAAATAGGGAAATTTTTGGTGATGGAACAAATCAATCACTTATTTTAACTAATTTTTAGTGACTTGGAGTTTTAAGACTATTCCAGAAAATCAGTAATTTGGATGGCTTCCCATCCAAAATTTGGAACCATTTTAGCCGGTATCCATTTTTGCCGGTAAATCTTATAGAAGACCTGTCTAGAAAATAGTTTGTTATGCATCAAATTACCCTTTACACATGATTAAAAAAAAATAATATGTTTTAGAAATAGTGCCGAAGGAGAGAATTTTTGACGAATAGACAAATAATAATAATATTTAAGAACCAATAATAGAATTATCCAGTGACTAGTGTTTTAAATTTGGAGGGTTAGAACTTTGATATTTACTTCAATTTAGTTATTAAAATTCTTAAATTATGAGATTTCTTTATTAATCTTATTTATTTTAATTATTTATTTGAAAATATTTTGAGAAAATTGTAAAAATATGGTAGTTTGGATGATGCAGCAAATCAATCATTGGTTTTAACTAATTTCCAGATTAAAACTACTCCAGGAAATCAGCAGTTGAGGCCACTTGTTTTCTCCCAGATTTAAAGACTTTCTAGCTAATAAATTTTACTGATTCCCAGATTGTGACTACTCAGAAGATCAACAGTTGAAGCCACTTGTTTTCCTCCCAGAATTGAAGATTTTCTGTCCAGTAAACTTGATTTCCAGACTAGGACTACTCCAGAATATCAGTAATTGAGACCAATTGTTTTCCTCCTAGTTTTGAAGATTTTCTGGCCAGTAAGCTCTATAACAGGTTTGCATGACAAATTGTTTGATGACACAGCACAATGTTATCTAATGAAAAGTTACTAATGACACATTTTTTTTAATAATTCAAGATAATTAGTTCTAAATTATAAATTTAAACTTATATTTAATCTTTGAATGAAAAAAGGGCTTTTAATTAGTTATCTACCTCCTTAATTGAATATTAATTAAATAAAGATAAATAAAATAAAGTAATTTCAGTTTAAAATATCATTTTCGTCCGGCTTCGATTTATTTTGGTTATTATATTTTCAACGTTTCTTTTAGTTCATATACTTTTAACTTTGTTCATTTTAGTCTATATAATTTTAGAGGGTTTATTTTTGACTAATTTATTTCAAAATGTTATCATATAATTTCACTCGATAAAATTTTTAGAAAGTAGTTATTGATTTTGTAAATAAGAATTAAAAATGTCTCATTTTAAAATTACCATGATTAAATGAAATATATGGAGCAAAGGGGAGAGTAGAGAGCCGAAAATAGTATTTAAATATACAATCTTATAAGTTTGACGAAAATAGAAAATAAAAGCTCAGAAATAAAAAAGGAAACAGAAATTTAGATTCAATTAATTATTAAAAGAAATTGGGTAGTCTGGTCTCAACTCAACTGAGGTCCACGTCACCAACTGTGGAACCGTCCTCTGATCAAATTCGAAAGAGAGATTAGCCCTCACGCATTTAAAGCGCGTGGCGCGTGTGGCGAAAACAATTTTCTTTTCTTTTTTATTATTATTTTTTTAAATTTCGATCGGATAACTAAAAAATTCAATAAATAAATAAAATAAAAAGTTACACGTGGCTTATGTGTGCGAAGTGGCAATATTCCATCGAAAAACGACCCTGCTGCCCTTTGCCTTGCTGGCGTCGACCAATCACAGCCGTCCGATTCGCTTCCCATTCCAATTATTTAACGGAGTTAGGCAGCGGCCCCCTGCAATCTCAGCCGTCCATTTCCCCTCCCAAGCAGGTTTTGCGTGAAAGTGTCAAATTCCCCCATTTTTCTTTTTTTTTTTTTATCTCTCTCATTTTTTTCTTTTTTAAAATTAAAAAGAAAAAAAAAGTAAAAGAAAGAGATTAGATTAAAAGCACATAAAAGCACACAAAATAGACACCAAGAAAAGAGAGAGAGGACTTTGCTGTGGAGTTTCATCGGAAGTTCGCCGGCGTTTAGGTCGGTTTCCGGCGGAGGGTGGATTCGACTGAGGAGGTGGTGAGGAATCACGATTTGTTCCGGTAAGTTCGAGAGAGAGAGAGTTTGATTTCATGATTGAGACGCATGATCATGGAGAAAACCAGAGAAGCGAGGAGTTCGTCGAGTACAGTCGCCGCAAATGGATCCTCACGGCGACGTAGTAGAGCTACGGTCTTTCGAGATTTACCTGGTATGAACTTCGATTTTCGTTTATTTGTGTTTTGTTGTGTGATTCTTGATGATTCTTTTCGGTTTAGGTTCATGCGGATGCTTGTTTAACTTGTTGCAGAGGAAGGTCAGGTGGAGTTGCAGGAGACGGTGCGGTTAAGGGATAAAGGTGCAGGGAAGAGGGATCGGGATCGAGAGTTTGCGAGTCGGAGCAAGCGGAGGAGGGGAGGGGCTAATAGAGAAGAAGAAGTGGAGGAAGATGAAGGTGGCGATACGAGTGCTGAAGATGTGGTTGTTGATGGAGGAGATAGTGATGAGGTTGAAGACGGTGGCGGTGTTTCGAGGATTCTTTCTTCTGCTACCGCTTCTTCAGCTTCGAATCAGAACCTGAGGATGAACTCTCTTCCGCCAAGAGTTGCGAAGCAACAATGGAAGGTTGTTGACGACGCGATGATTGGTGTTCCAGTTCCGAGAAAGGCTCGCACAGGTATAAAGCGAGGAAAGTAAAAGAATAAAACGATTGGTTTCTTATATGTTGTTTATGGAATCATGCTCTGTTTCACGAGTGATGGTGAAGTTGTTCTTAATTTCTCTCTACAGCTTCTGTCAAAAGATCACATGATTGCACGGTTTCAGGAAATAGTGGTGTTGGTGGAGCAGGCGAAGACATTGCAGACGACCCGAGCCATCGGAACCCGTCCGATTCTCCGGCGAGGTCATCTGCTGAGGTTGTTTCGCCTTCAATTTTTGCTAAGAAGAAGATGGTTAGCTCCTCACTTTTATTTTTATCTTGATATTCTCGCATGTAATCATTGTTCAATACATCTATATTTTTTTTAACATCGGTGTGATTTCTTCCTCTCTTTTGAATTTTCAGAAACCAACTGGACCAAAGACTCGAACAATGAAAGCGTCTAAAGATTCTTCTCCATCTACCGAGGGGGATATTGAGATTGAGATCGCTGAGGTTCTGTTCGGGCTAAAGAAACAACCCCAGTGCTCCAGAAAACAAGAAATTACTGCGAAGCCATCATCGAACCAAGAAACAGAGAACTCCAGTGCTCTTCGTGAGGGTACCAAATCTCCAGTTACATCTACAACGGCAAACTCTGCCCAAACTTCCTTCCAAAAATCTGTTTCACTTCAGAAGAATGGTGCTATCTCTGATTTGTTACTTAATGTTGGTGGGTATTTTAAAAATACATGAGCTAAAGCAAATATTTCCGAATAGAACTTTTATAGCCTTCTCTTCTCCGGTTATCCCTTACTGATAATGTCCATTTTTCGTTCTATTTGCCATTTCCAGCTGTGGAGAAGAATAAATCGGAGCATGATAGTTCGTCTCCTCTGGCACGGAGCGATTCGATGGCTGGTGCGGCTAAAGGCGAATCCGAGCAACATGCAGGGATTGAAGGAGCATCTGATTTTGGTATGAATCTAGGTTCCCATGGATGTCAAACTGTGGTAACTAAGCCGGAGGAAAGTAAACTTACAAAGGAATTTTTCACTGGTGGAGATGAAAATCCGGGGAGCAAGAAAACTGTGTCGACACAAGACGATTTACCTTCATGCATTAAAGGGGATGTTGGCCCTGAAGATTCACCACCATCTAAATCGTAAGCAACGATATAAGATTTTCATTTTCATCCATCGTTCCTGAAATAACTAATGTCAATATAATTTTGTGTGCGTTCGCAGGATTCCAGAGGCTGAGACCCAGAAAGAAGAGAAATTCAAATTTGATTTGATGGTCAGGGTTTGCAAATTTTTTTAATTTCAATTTTGAATTCACCTGATTTTTTAGTATGAAGTTTCTAAAAAGTGCATTTGTTGAACAGGCTCCTCCGACATCTCCAGAAAGGGATGGTTTGACAGACATGGTATTGGATATTAAACCTTTGAGTCTGGGACTAGAAATGGTTCGTAAGATTTTTGCTGCATGCTTGGTTTTATTCTTTTAGAAGTTTTGATTAATGGGTTTCTTTTTCTTGCCTTTCTTTTGGAAATCTGGTGCAGGGGAAAGGGACTTCACATAAGGTTGAAAATGAAGTAGAAGGATTTAAGGAAAAAGAAAAAGTGATCGATGAAGTTAGAGATAAGGTGGTGTCAAGTGGGAAAAAATTTGATTTCTTCAAGCTAGATTTGGAGAGACCACAATTAGACAGCAATAGCCTCACAATGCAAGAACAGAGTCAAAAGCAGCAGCATAAAGGAGCCGCCGGCACAGTTGAAAAAAATGGTATTCATCATTTCATTTTGAAACTGTGTTCAAATTTGTTGATTAAAATACAATTCTATGCCGAACTGTCATCTCAACTGTCATGATAATTGTTTTTTCCCCCAGAACCATCCACTTCAGTGCGCTTGCCCATTACTTTGGGTGGCTGGCCAACTGCTGAAATTCCTCCTGTCGGGTAAGAAACCATTTCTTTAGAACTATATGCTTGAGCAAATTACTTGGTTATGTGTATTTTGTTGAAAGAAATTTTCCTGTTCACACTAAAGTTTGACGTGTTCCTTTTTCCTCCTTGCAATACAGGTACATGCCACCCTTTCGGACAATGCTATCCGTGGACAGCGGTGACAAATCATCCAGCAAACTACAGGTACTTTTTCTGGGTTTTCTAACTCTGAATTCCACCTGTGGATTTAATCAACAACTGAATTTGCTGTTGTGTGTTCAAAAATCTTGCAGCATCCGAATTTCATTCTCTCGCACCCTCGGTCAAAGAGATGCTTGACCCATTACGACATTGCTCGAAACATTTACTTACACCAGCAATTCACAAAGACGAACTATTTCCACCCAGCAGCTGATGCTTCTACATCTCTTGCAGAGGCTAAGCTTAAAAACTTGTCCTCAAAAGAAGGCATAAGTTTGGGTAATCCATTGCACAGACATCTTTTGGATATGAACCTAAATACTGCGCAAGCTGAAGGCGACTTTCCGGGCAATGTGGTAAATGATAAAAGCCCCGAGGCTGCGAATTTTGCCGATATGGCTAAAAGTAAGCAGCTTGTATTTCAGCAGAGGCCCGGACCATCTTTTGGCAACTCAATGGTATGATTTTCTTGACTACTTTTCTGCATAGAATTTCTGTATTTTGTATATCTTCCGGTTGATCGGATAATATTGTTCTCAAACTGCCGAATCAGTTGATAACAGCAAAAAATTTATTCTCTCTCTCTTTCCTTTCCACTGCAGCCTGGTTCTGGATTCATATTCCCTATCAGTCAGCATCAAGCATCGATAGCAGCCACAGCAAATCAATCTGGGACCACCAAATCTTCTAATCAATCAACATCACTGTTCAGTAATCCAGAAGCTGGAACACTTGTGAGCTTTCCAGCATTACCTGCAGTATCTAGTAACATGAGCTACAGTCATCCGAATATGGTTTCGATTGAAGCTCCATATTTGGCAAAACTTCAGAACAACGGCTATCCATTCACCTTCTCTACTCCTGCTGGAACAAGCACAACATATAGAGCAAACAGTGCACAACCCTTGCCTCTTTTCAATGGATCCTTCTATCCATCTCAGCTGTTCCATCCATCCCAGATTCAGCCAGCACAAACTCAATCGCATCACCAATCAAGTAGCTCCCATAAACAACCACAAGCCCAGCAGCAGCAATGGAGTGTGCATGTGCCTGGGAACAATCTAGTGCCATCAAATGCTATGCAAGTAAAACAGTCGACCGAACAGCATTTGCCACTGTCTAATCAATCCCGGAAGCATGATGGTGAGACTGGTGGAGAAGACACTGCTGCCCTTTCCGACAAACGGGTAGCTCCAGTTCAGAAAAATACTTATGGTCAAAACTTCATTTTACCTGTTCAGGCACTGGGTTTCACCTTGATGCCATCTGCAACAATGAACAATGCCAATGGTGGAAATAACGGTGAGAAGAAACAGTCTCATCCACAGAATTTGAAGAACACAGTTGCCCTAGTTCCTTCTCAGGGACTCACAATGTCCTTTGCTTCATATAATGGAAACGGTACCCCATCGAACCTGAACTTCACGCCAATCGCACAAAATGCGACGGTCTATCAGAATCTTCCTGATATGCAGAGGGCAGGATTTCAGGTAGCACCTGCACCCCAAGCTACAAAACAGAAGAGTCACCAGAGTTCAGAAGGACGGAATGGAGTTGTTCTGTCCGGTTCCAACGATAGGAACAATGGAAATTCTGCAAAGCCTTCTTCAACTTCAGGGCAGACCCTAGTTTTCAGTAATTCTGGAAGGACTCTCAACTTCATGACATCTTCTGCCCCTGTAAACTGGCCTTCCCCCTCCACCAAATCTGCTGCCTTAACAACAAACCGATCTGCTGCTAGTTCGTCGGGTAACCAACAACAGCAACCACTGCTCCAGCTTCCACAGCAGCACATATTGCAACAGCAACAGGCAACCATGATGTCTCGAACTAAAGTACCAGCTAATAATAGCTTGCCCTCATCGGTCGGGCCCAAGTTTCCTTATAATGCCCCTCCTGGCTTCTCGCAACCATTGATGCATTGCGATGATTCTGCGCAGAAGAACTCGGGAAGAATGGTGGCTTCCGTCGTCCCTATGACGTCTCTCCATCTTGCTTCCTCCCCTGCCGTCTCTAAGAACTCTCCCCAGCAAAAAGGAAGCACTCCTCAAGGCCAGACCCAGATATCGTTTGGGGGAGATTTCAAGCCAGCTTTTACACAGATGCAACACATTCCAACTAGCAGTCACTCTCCATCCAGCAGTGGAAAATTAAGAAACACAGGCAGTAAAACCAGTTCATCGGTTGCTCCCCCGCAACCAAAGCAGGATGAAAGCTCATCGACTGGAGGTGGCCAGAAGTCATCTCCCGTCTGTGGTCGAAATGTGCCTTCAATCTTGAACACATGCCCTAGTCATCTCTCAGAACTAAAATACTAGACCCGTTTTTGTTCCAGCAGCTTAGAAAGACTAACATGAAGTTCAATTAATTCCAGCTCCTCCCCATTTAGATGTTTTGATGGATGATCCCAATTCCCAACTCTATAAGTGGCCTTCTCAATACCACTATCTGATACACTAATGGAAGAAGATGAATCAGATACGGGAAGCAAACTTATGGATTTCCAAGGAGCTCAAACCACAATGCTTTCGTCTTTTGACTTGCCAAAAGACAACAAAGAATCATCGGAGTCCTTCATCCCGGGAATCGAAGGCTTGAATTCGCCAAAACCATGTCGAGGATCATAATGACAAATGGGCATGGATTTTTGTTGATCAGTCATAAAATTTCAAGCTTTAACTTTAGTGACTATAATTTGGTTGGTAGGTTATGTATATTGTAAGTCATTGCATATTAGTAGGGCCAATTTTTTGGTTTATATATTTAGTGCTAGACAGACTTGTGAATATGATGATATTATACTTGGAAAAAACACTGTATTCATTCTTTTTATTTCTCCATTCTAAGTTCTTGTACGCAACAGGGAAGAGAAGATAGATATCTGAAGGGAGAGAAGAAAAAACAAAGACGAAGAAGAATCGTGGTGAGCAAACTTTTGAACTTGATGCTATTTTTTTTTTTTTTTGGTGTCAGTTTCAGTTGTGAAAATAATACAGTTTGATGCACTAAGAAAAGGAGGAAAATTATTAGACAAAGCACATGGAAGAAAGGAGATTGCAGAGTTTCAAAATTTCATTTCCTGTAGGAAAGGTTACAACTTTCTGTCTACTTTTATTTGGTAATCAGATGGGTGATCTAATAATTTGATGCCAGAATTAATAGCTCAACTCTTAAATATCAATTCAAGTTGATTGAAAAAAGGTATCTATTTTAGATTTGAGTTCTCACTCCAATAGCTTTCAGATTTGAAATTGAAACTATCAATTTTAGGCTCCTAGTCCTTAACTAGAATTAATGCTACTTTTAATCTTTTCTAAAAACCATAATGTTATTTTAAAGTGCAATAAATAGTGTCCATTCAGACTTTTTGGGCATATTCATGCTTGTAAGTCGTGAATAACTTGCTAACCACCAAGTCTCGCGTTGAACTTCAACTACTCTTTAGACTCAATTTCCACCAAGTCTCGCGTTGAACTTCAACTACTCTTTAGACTCAATTTAATTGTTCGGATTGTAAATTTATTCAACCAAAATAGCTTTTGTTAAATAATAAACTCAACGTAATCTAACCATGTACTCTAAAACATATATTGTCTAATATTGAATCAAGATTTGTTGGTGTTTATTTATATGGTGAAAAAATAATACTCTTACCTTGGCCAAAAAAAAAAACACCCCAAAAACTTAAAAAAAAATTGTTTTTAAAAGTCGTGGTTGAATAAATAATTATAATAATCCATAAAGAATGATTGAATCAAATAAAATTAAGGTAAATTTAACTATATATAATTTTTCTAGTGAATGAAAGAAATAATTTTAATATTAATAATAAGTTCGAGTTAGTTCGGTTCAACCCAAACATATGCTAGGTAAACTCTTGAACCAACCCAACTAAGAAGGTTGAACCGAACTAATTAAGAATTTTCATTTATTGAACTCAACTTTGGGTCAATCGATTTTTTTCATGTCATCGAATTTTTTTCACTCCTAATAAGGTCAAATTTGAGATTGACTATTTACCCATGAAGTGACCTTGGCATTGGACTAAATTGAAAATGGTTCGGAGTATTTTGGACCAAAATGTAAAATTAACCAAAAAGAAGAATATTCAACAATAAAAAGGATAAAATTGTATTCCAGTTTAAACATCATTAATTTCAAAACAAAAAGGAAAAACCAATCTCCTTCTTCTCTCCCTTTGGCTATTTTCTACTTGTGAAGAATGGAAGTTAAAGCTTGTCTAATGTCTTCTTTGGCTTGTCTATCAAATGGATCTTCACCAATATAGAGATCTAGAATGGCTCTACACAGTAGTTGGCTTTGGATGCTTCCCACTTCCTTCCCGTCAACTGCAAAAAAAAAAAAAAAAAATTAGTATTAAAGTCAAAACAAACCAAATTTCATTCCATATTAAGATGGTTGGTTGGCCAATGCATGGAGCTGATGAGTGAATCCTCTCTCTCATCTTCTCTACTGCCTTTTCTTTCTCCAGAAATAATGTATAGGATCATTCATTGGACTAAAAAGGAATCGGGATCTCACTGATTGTGCGGAGGACGTGGCCTCGTTCTTTTGAGAGATCGATCACGGATCCTCGAGGTATTTTATACTCATCTTTGAATTGGGAAGTGAATCTGCAAAGAAACAAGCTATAAGGATTCAAGAGGAGTAGGGTATAGAGTGTGTGACTTTTCCATGACATGGAGACGAGGCAAATAATAACTTCTTTAAGTCATGAAATGACTCACTTGTGTAGCAATTCTTTGTTGTCTGGACCCCCGAACTTTTGGAGTCGGTTTCCTACCGACTCTTCGAAAGCGCTACGAACAGATCGGATGCTCAGCTTGCCGTAGACTATCTGAAGTCTAACAGTCATGCAGATATCGCCTTCCATGACATCTTTGTCAAAGTCCTTTTCTTGAAGTTCAGATGCAGGGAGATTTCCATACTTCTCACCCAGTGATTCGTTTACGTCGTCATTGTCGGCGTAGACACCTACAGGAATAGACAGACATTCATTTGAATAACTTAACTTGGAAAATATTTCAACATCTCAAAAACAGAAAATCATATTGACCATTCCATAATGGATTTCAAAATAACAAAGATTGTAACTCGTGAATCACGGCAAATCTCGACCACCCCCTACTTCCTTCATCTTCTACTCAATTTAAGTTCGTTCCATTGTTGTTCCAGATGTCATAAAACGTTCGAATTCCTATAGACACTTTAGTAGATGACAATTCACTAAAGAAACTTGATAGTTGTTCATACAGAGCTAGAACTATTAGATGTTGAGAATGGTATCATTCATTAAAAGTGAAGTTTTCACAAATTTGAATTCTATGCTCAGTTCATTTCTGGCTTATATTGAAGCCCAAATGACTTCCTATAGAGTTAGAGAGATAGTCAAGCTACAGCTTATTATCTTAGTCATCAAGAAGATGTTCTGATTGACAAACTAGAATTTTCCCCATTAGCCATGAACTTCAGCTGAAGTGTATCAAAGTACTCTCACTTTTGTAAAGAAATGTTATCCGATAAAATACTACAGTAGAATTAGTTTGTCTTCGAGATGGCCGTGAATACCGAGTGAATTGGAATCAAGAACTCTTTGAATATATGAACCCCTAATTCACAAATACTTAAACTCTCAAATAGATTTGATTTCAACTCTAACGTCTAGGTTAGACATGCAAAACTCTTGACACAAGAACATGTTCCTTACCCAAAGTTGAACACTCCACAAGATAGGAGGATCATTGGTACTTGAATGTTCTTGCACGCAACTCAAAGAAACGTGGAATTACAAAGGTTCAAGAAGAAGCTCAAGGCTAAAATTAACTCATCGAGATTGATGTGTCCAAAACAACTTGATGGCAAAGCTTTAGATAGCTTTGCAACTAAACTCTAAATGCCTGAGATACCCCTACTCAAAATGCTCTAAAAGGACAAAAAATTAGGAAGCAATAAAATTTCATCAGAACTATATATGATTTGAAGTCCTATCGCGGTTCATATTATATAGATTGTTTTCAAAACAATCTTCTGTTTTTTGAAAACAAAAACTCAGTGAAAGCATATTTGAATACTTGTTCTGTAGAAGTTATTTTCTTTGGTTTTCTTCAGTTTGTTTGATCTGTTCTTGAGAATTGAAGATGTTACACACCTTTCAAACTCAAATCATACTTTCAAGTGGAAAATGACACAAAACTTTACTGATTGCTATTTGTATTTGGGAGGGGAAAAGAAACTTTCTAGAAACATTGTCCGAAAGCCCTAGAACGATTAGATTACTGATTGTTACTATTTTCAACAGTAGTGAGAATCTTCCTAATCTGAAAATCCAAACAACGAATTATCGAATGCACAAATTCAACATTCAATCAGAGAGAAAAAATAACAGAGCGAAATTGGAAGTAGAAAGGTCCCCTGAAAGTTTGATTGTGGATACGATACCAAATGCATAGACATTGATGTTCTTGAGTCCCAAAATGGCCTTTCTCCGCAACCCAATTCCGAGAAGCTGCTGGGAATCGCCGATGACAGACGGAAATGACAATCCGGTCTTCGAGTCGACGACGGAAGAGGCGGCCGAATTATCCGCCACAGAGAGAGAAGCCCACGGCGGCGACGAATGGTTTGGGAACAGCAGATTCAATGCGGTTTCGAGAAGC